TCTCTCTCTCTCTCTCTCTCTCTCTCTCTCTCTCTCTCTCTCCTTCCTTCCTTCCTTCCTTCCCTCCCTCCCTCCCTCCCTCCCTCCCTCCTGTTTCTCTCCTTGTAAAGACAACAATTTATGTTTTTCCCCCTTTCTTCTCCTCCTAGAGTCATTAAGAGTTGGCCGGCATGCAAGTTTAATAATAAATAAACAAATAGCCTTCTAAAAACTTCCTCTGTTTTTTTTTCTCGCACATATATACATTCGCTCACTCTTTTATTCTAGATCAGCCTTCCCAACCCAGCCTGTTTCAGTTATGGATGGGAGTATATTTCCCAAAATTATGCTGGAATTGTAGGGATTGTGGTCAACCATTTGGGTGGATCTCAGTTTTCATGCAAATGCCCTTGCACTGCTTGAGGGCAACAGGAGGAGCACATTGTTTATGCATTACATCTTTGATCCATCCATTAACCAAAGTTTTCCAGATTGTTTTGCTTGCAGGCATGTGTATGAAACAGGATGACCTTTGGGTCACTTTAGCGGGGTTCATTTATGCTTTATTTAATTAGCTATTAGATTAGAGCCTTTGCTGTAGAATGCCATCAGATTTAGTTTCAAATCCTTCCTTGCTTTTGATACTTGATGGCCAGCCTTGGGAGGACCATTTCTTTCCAGCTTAACCTGCTATGTTCTTATCCAACAGTATTTTAAAGTGGAATAATGTCTTGCCAGTCCATGGAAGAACTGTGGAACAATTGAAAATATTCGTACTAGGCCCTGTCTTTATATAATTTTGATATTGTTCAAAACTGATTTGACCACTGCAGGATTGGTGAATGGGCTTGCAGAGCTCCAGTATAGGGTCTTTGATGCTGGTGCTGAAGAAGATCATCAACATGTAAATCATGGGGACTGATTTATATAAACAACAATAATTTAAGTAGTTTATAAGACACTTCCCAGCAATTTTCAGCTGATTGCAATGGGGAGAAAATAATGGAGAGCTAGACAGCATCTCATTTGTTTTAGTCATAAGGAATTTTTGCCCTAAGTCTGAAAATTCCTGGACGGTGTCCAAATAAACATAGAACTGAGCTCAGTGACTTTAAAGAGACTTTGAACTTTGAGTAGGAATATGAGCTTTTAAAGTAACATAAAATAGATTGGGAAGTAGCTCGGGAAAATGCGTGTTTTCTTTTTCTCCAGATTTATGAGGTCCTGAGTGTAATCCGTGACATTGGTGCAATAGCTCAAGTCCATGCTGAGAATGGTGACATCATTGCAGAGGTAACTCCTGTTTGTAGTGCTGTTAGTAGTGTTTCCAAATGGGCTTATTACACCTGTGATTCTGAATTTGGCCATACAATTTGCAACTTAAAAAAGGAGGTTAAAAAAGGTGTATTAGAAGGAGAAAATATGCCCAGAATGCATTTTATCAGAGAAACTTGCTTGCAGAAATGTGTATGTTGTGAGAATTACATTGAAAAATCCAGATAGTAGGGGAAATGTGCAGTTAAAAGTAAACTAATTTTAAACTAATATTACAATAAATTGCAAATTCAATGAGAAATGGCAGAGAACAAGACTAGACAAATGAGAAACTAAATGATACCAAACATGAGAGATCACACGTTACACGTTGTGTCCGCGTAATGCAAGGACACAAAAATTTGATGCTTGCACTTTTTAGTCCTGATAACTAGAGAACACCTAGTATAGGTTAAAACAGGGTTGATTGGGTAGTTTGTGATTCAGTGTATGGATCAGATCACACATTAAGCCATGTTATGGTTTACTTGTTTGAGGTAGAATGTTTCTTAGTACAGGAATTGTGTTCTGTCATCTAGGGTTTAAGATTTAGGATGTTATGTGAAGCCCACCTAGAAACTGGCCAGGCCGATAGAAGATCTTACTCTAGAGTGGAGCTAGAGGACTTAGTTCAGAATTGGAAGATCTGACGTTAGCTAGTAAAATATGTTTGATCTCTGCCCTTTCTCCTTATCCTTTAGGAGCAACAAAGGATCTTGGAACTGGGAATCACTGGCCCTGAAGGGCATGTGCTGAGCAGGCCTGAAGAAGTGAGTGCATTAAAATGTTTACCTTGTTCCTTGGTTTTGACTGCACTTCAGAGGACCAGCAACAGTGATGGAACACTGCATCCTAAAGTCAACTATTTGTATTATGTATTTAGTGGTCTGTAGGTAGAGAAGTGACTTGTACTTTACATGCAAAAGGTTTGTGGGTCCGTCTCTTGCATCTTCAAGCTTTTTTTTTTTTTTTAAATAGTACTGACAGGTAAATTACTTGCATTTTTTCCTACAGGGTCTCACTGAATGTGTTAAAAGAGAATTAACTTTAGAAACTCTTTCACCGTGGAATTCTTTCAAAAGTGAATGAGCAAAGTATTATTTCACTTATTTAGTGCTAGATATACTTTTTCACTGTACAAACCTTCCTCCAGCCATCTCCACCCTCTATAACTTCTCATTAAACCCCAAGGAAACCTGGCCCAGTCTGGCCCTTAAAAAGTGGTTGGATAGATTCCCTTCCCTTGGAGAAATACAGAGAAGTAAACCACCCAATTTCTTTGGTGATAGGTAAAGAATTTCAGAAGGTCATTTTATGTCCAAAAAGGAGGAGAAGGGGAAGAAAGCGCTGAAAGATTGTTGAATACCTCCTCTGAGTGTAGATGTTTCTAGTTTTAGTTCTCTGTATCTCCAGAATGATTGAGAAAGAATTTAATGTGAAACCTGGAAGAGTTGCTGCTGGGCGTTGCAGATAGTACTGACTAAGGACGTGTAAACCATTGTGTTCCAGAGGCAGAACATTCCAGTGAATTCCATTCTTCCCCTGGATCACACTGATCCAGCTGTTTAGGGAATGATCCAGCAGTTTATTAGAAGTAAATCCTCTGAAACAGAAAGTGCTCTGTGTGGGCTGAATGTGGTTAATTCGAGAATGTTCCATATCTGGAATAGAACATCTACATTTAGTACTGACCTAGGTAGGCTAAGAAGCTGATGACCTGGTGTAAGGTCGCTCCCTGTGGGTGTTCGTTTGAAGGATTTTCTAAAGGATGGAGCACCAACGGTGTCAGTGGTGGAAAGTGACACACCAGAGTCTTCTGCCAGGAGATGGAGGAAGGAAGCATTCCAGGATGTTGAATTTGAGTGGGTGAAAAGCAGTCCTGAAAACACTGGAGATCAAAAGCTTGCGTTGGAGGTCAGGGGAGGGAAAGGAGGAGGAAAGCAGACAGCCATGCTGAGAGGAAGAAAATAGGACTCCTCACACCCATATTTCCCCAAGAAATTGTTGCAGAGTTCCCATACTTACTTGCATTGCTCCCAAATCGACATCCTTGGCTTTGCATCACAAAAATTGAGACAGCCAGGGTGCTGTGGTGACCAGGTTGTCAGACTAGGACTTGCCAAAAGCTCACTAGATGACCATGGGTCCATCACGGCTCTTCGGTCCAAGCAATTTCATTGAGTTGTTTGGGGGATAAAAGTGGAAGAGGGAATCTTGAAGTAGCCACTTTTAATCCCAGAAAATTAGTTATTTGACTAAGGAACTGTCCTGGTACCAAGGGGGTTAACCTTTTTTTTTGGCAACGTTGGAGTTGTGATTAAGTTCATCCGGGCTGGGACTGCCACATGCATTACCCAGAAACTTGAAAAGTGACATTTTATAACCGTGTCTCCCCGCCCGCACGGAAAAGACTGCAGTGATATTTAATGTGGCTTTACCCATGGGGCTTGGGTTTTTTTCCCACAAATAGTAATTAGCATAAGGCTGCAGAAATTTTGTGATTTAAAAATAATAAAGTACGAGTAAAGGAGAACTCCAGAAAGTTACGCATGGGGCGGATAAGCAGACCAGAAGGAAATTTAAGAGTGGGAAATTTAGAACAGATGAAGCAATAATGAAAAAGCAGCCAGCTATGTATGGAACACACTGCCACAGGATGGGCCTTGACTTGGTTTGGAAAAGGGCTTAGAGAAATGCACTCATAAAGCTGTTAGTGGCTCCAAGTCCAAATTAGTAGACATCCCCACTAATTTGCCATACCCACTCATTTTTTAATGCCAGTCTCTGGTGAAGAATGAGAAAAGAGTATGGATTTTATGCTCTCAGAGATACCCCGTTGGTTCTTGTAAAATAGAGGATGCTGTTTGTCATGGCAACCTGGACACACCCATGTACATTTCTTGACAACAGTATGGAAACGGTTGACCAGTGCGGCCTTCCAGGTTTTTATTTTTTTAAGCCAGTCTAGCCAATAGCCTTGGGATCTTTTGGTAGCCTCCCCTCCAGAGGCTAAGCACATCCTCCTTTGCTTAGCAGCAAAAATTAGGATGCTGACCTGAAACCCTTTGTGGAAGTTTGACCAGCTAAAAAGAGAGGCTGAACTGTATGGGTTTTAGACTATTTATTTTAGAAATGCATAAGGCTGCTCCGTTCTACAATGACGCTTTGTATGCAGTTGCTCGCGCGCGAGCACACACACACACCCCAATTTATTCAAGCAGTGATCTCAGCCTCTTGGCTAAGACCAAGTGTAGTATCTGTTCTTACCAGTTTAATATGCAGTACCTTGTTTAATCCCAGAAGTGTCTGAGAATTGGGTGCAACTGGATTTTTCCTTTTCCCCTTATTCTTTGTAAATGTGTCCTCTTATAAATTTTAAGTGTATATGTATTTATTGTTTTAATATGTTGTAAGCCACCCATTGGGATGAGATGGGCGGGGACAAGTTTAATAATAAATAAATTAAAAAAAAATAAACTGCTTGCAGTTTTGCAAAAGTAAAGTCTCTGAAAGTTGGGGAACATCTGTAGATGTTATTGAGTTGGATCTCTGCTTCTTTCTCCTTCTCTCTTCCTGCCAAACAGGTGGAGGCCGAAGCTGTGAACCGGGCTATAACCATTGCTAACCAAACAAACTGCCCCTTATACATCACCAAAGTGATGAGCAAAAGTGCCGCTGAAGTGATTGCCATGGCCAGGAAGAAGGGTGAGCTCTGTTAATAGAAGCTTGACGGGGAACGAACGGCTAATTCTTCCACTCGTTTCATTGCAAGCGTCCTGGGTCTCCCTGGTGGGAAGTCTAGCTGGAGCTTAACTTTCAAAGCAGTTGAGTTTTTTGCAGGGAGCTTGTTCTACATGACAAGTGGCCTGTTAGGACGTGGGCCTTTTAAATCCATTTCCTCTCCGTATTCCACCAGCTGGCTCAGTAGCTTTGCTAATGCTAGTTTGCAAATAGGAAAGTGACCTCATTTTTTTTAGCCCCACTCGCTAACACTGCCGTTTTTTTAATATTCCCTCCACGGTCTCCACCCCGCCCTGCTAAGCAGGATTCCCTCCAACAACTTCTTCCGTCTTTTATTTACACAAAACATAAACCTGCTTTTCCATATGTGAGTGCAGCCAGCCAGACAAACAGGACTTGGATTTCTCTGTACCGGCTCCTCCCTGCAAATCCGGAAGTGGATTAAAGGTGGTGCTTCAAGATTAGTAGGGGGTTGAACCCCGATGAAATTGGGGTCATTTGGGAGTCCCAAACATTAAGTGGATAACAGGTGGCTTCATTTATATGTTCAGCTGCATACAGCTTGAAACTGGACCGAGCCCCATAATCTGAGCTAAGCCATTAGCCCCATAGATTAAGGTCTGGTAGTTGCTCTTTGCTTTTCTCAGAACTGCTTGTGGAGTGCTGAAAAGTGACCCCTATACCTGGCAGTTGGGAGTGCATCACTTGTGGGTGTCATAGCCCCTGGAGCACCCCTCATCCTGACGTGGGCAACCCCATTTTTTCTCTGAAGACAGTCTTCTGTGCTTTGAGATGGAGCCACTGAAGTAGGACAGTAATATAGTCCACTTTTGCTACTGCAATTTTGATTGTTGCCTGTTTCCTTGTAATACAGGTGAGAATGGGAGCAGGAGGGCCCTGGGACACAAAGTGGTCCCATTGCCATCCTTTACCTATCCCCCCCCCCCAAAAAAAAAAAAAGAATATAACATTTCACAGTGTTGAAATTCTGGCTTGATCTGATGGCAAACATGGCTAGTCCATGACACAGATTTATCTAAAGGCAAATACGGTAGGGGATCAGAGGTAAGTGGGATTTAGGGAGCTGGAATGGGACAAGGAAGAAAATATTTTGTAAGAAGCTGATCTGGACAAAATCCACCCATTGTTGCATTTCTTCTCTGACTAGATGGGTGGGAGGCCCAAGATCTGCTTAGCCTTCTGCCTCTTGCTGCCAAAATGCATCTTTAAAGACGTGCAGATTCCAGGGGTGACAGCAAACTGTTATTGTCCCCAGTATGTAGTGGACTAAGAGCTGGCTTTTCTGAATAGCAAACACATTGGTAACGCAATCTTTGCCATTTTCATGCTTTACACTTTGAGGTATGTGTTTAAAAATAACCCTAAGGTGTGAAGCAGTCTTAAAACTAATACTCACTTCTGCTGCTCATCAGCTGGTTCCTTTATTACTCCCAAGCAAAAACCTTTTCCCAGAATTCCACCGTTCTTGAATTGCTGGTTGAATAGTATCAAGAACACCTGTGCCCTTTATTTTTGTCTTTTATTGTTTAAGCCTTATTCATTTTTATATAAAGCTTTGTTCCATGTGGTTGTCTTAGGATGAAGGGTTTTTCTTCTCCCCCTCCTTCCCTCCCTTTACGCAGGAAGAATTTGAAAGGAGCTCAGTGCAGTCTAAATAAACCCAGATTAATGAGATAACCTTTCCGTCTCTGGAGGTTTTACAGCGCTTATAAACATTTATCTGTGCTCGTCAGCTTAATGTGTGTTTCTGCAGAGCGCAATTACTGAATTATGGCATGCTGGGGCCCTCCTTTCTTTTAGTTTATCAGCAGCTGCTTTCCTCCACTGCATGAAGGGGAAAAAAAGCTTGCATAGTTAAATGGCTGGGAAGGGGGTTAAGAATCAAAAGATAACAATAGTAAGTGTGATCACTTACAAAAAGATTTCTTATTGCATCCAAACTGGGCTAAGGTCAATACTCAAACTGTGTTGGGACTGCCTGCCTGGAGTTGTTGAGCGTTGAGTGGCATACAGGTCTTCTCCTTCTCCTTCTCCTTCTCCTTCTCCTTCTCCTTCTCCTTCTCCTTCTCCTTCTCCTTC